ACCTCAAATTGCACTACCATTGCTGTCAAGGTGGATGCATGTGCAATGAAGGATGTCCGTAAATATCAATACATTTTTTAAGGACAATATTTGTTCATTCTCCCCTCCCTCCTCCCTCCCCCCTCAAAACGAACATACACATGTTTCCATCTACAGCCATCACCTAATTAAGTAAGAGACAACCAGCTCCAGTGGTTGTCACCTTTCACCACTGCTGTCATTCACACTTTTACTTTTGGATTTGCCTCATGATGCAGTCATTCACGCTTTGCACTGCCGCCATTCACAACTTTTAGATTTGCGCCATGCTGCAGCTATTTACACTTTGCTTTGTGAGTATATAAACCAACACTGATGCAGATTTCTCATTACTGTTTTCTGATGATCGCTTAGTGCGTGAAACTCGGAGTAAAAACACTTTCTCTGTCCTCCTATTGTTTCATACACTTGTTTATGCAGAGGATCGATATTTTTTTAATGAAGTGCAATCTCCTCATGAAACGTGACCAGCTGCAATTCTAAATTCACCATACACCTAGGTTTACGTTGCCACGGTCACACAACCTTGCCGTGTGGCTATGTTCGTGTGTTCACGACTGTCCTGTCACGGCCGATAACTTACTTACTTACTATTTTCGTGCTCTTGCCAGTTTGTGGAGTCATGGTTGTGTTGATCCGCAAGGTCTGTAGCTGTATCTGCTGCGGCTAACATGATGCCACCGCTGCCACTGCCGCCGCTGATTATCTCAATCATGATACACACCTGACTCACAAACACTGCACTGTTCTTCATGAGCTGCCAGCGGCAAGCATTGTAGCGGCCTGGGTTAGCAATCGGTGACTTTGATACAACCACAGCCATGGTTACGTCAGTACACAGTGGCAATACAGCCAGGTCACAGTGTAAACATACACACTGCGGCGGATGGCGTTGACACTACCGCCAACAGGGATGAGGATGAGGATGATGATGACTGGTTCGACTCAGATAGTCAGAGATACCTCTTCGTCTCCAGCAGGCACTAGCTAGTCAGCATAGCCTGCTCATGATGGTGTAGTCTCCCTCACGCAACACATGATGCACGCAGGCTAGCTCAGTGCAGGAAATACGCAATGCGAGCTATAGTCTACATCTGATTCCGACAGTGCTTGCTGCACATGTACACTCCCGCACACGCCACTGTGAGTGTGTCCACAACAGAAGCAATACTACTATTTGCAGCAATACTACTATTTGCAGCAATCTCCAGCAATCTGCTCCAAACTGATGAACCGACTAGACCTCTCTGCATCCTTCCCTTCCACCAATCAATCGCTTGTGTTCAAGTCAAGGTAAACTCCTGTCACCTGCATACATGTATGTGTAGGGTGCAGGGTGCAGAGTGCTGCTGCTAAGACTGGTACGCACCACGCCACCAGTCTCGGGTGTGGTGCTTCATCGCAGCGCTTCTCCTTCAACACTGCAATAGCTACTTGTAGATTGTTCATGTCGTTACCAAAGCAAATCCTTAGATGGCTTCACGATGTCCCAACTCGTCCACCACGGGAACATGACCAAACACCTGCACTCGCTACTGCCGTACTGCCTACTGGGAAAGTTTCCCTCACCCGACACTCCACAGTGAGTTGCGAGTCGTGGACGTGTGGAATCGCTGGACCACGTACAGCTTTGCACTTCGAACGTCATCATCTCTTTCCTCCACAAACTGTCTTGGGCGGTTGAAAGCCGCAGAATAGACAACGTCAACAAGATGACAACACTCAGCAGAGCTGCAGGTTTGATCAATCCTGCAGCTGCAGCAGTGTAGCCTGTACTGGCTGTAGGACTCCTTCACTGGCCCCGAGGCCCGGCCAGTGAGTAAGAGCTTGAAGGTATAGGCGCTAGGCCTCGATTGTCGATCGATGCCTATACTACTAGTAGATCTACGATCCGGATCAACGATCGGCCCACTACTGCCTGGCACTAGAGAGGTTTTGCCGAGCGCGCGAAATCATCGTTATGTCTTATGACTATGTCTCATAGTATGAGAACAGACAGACTCTCGATCTGGGCATGTTGTAGATCTGCAACAAGTGCGCAAGCAAGCATGCATGCAGCTGTGCAAGTGGCTTTGCTCCCGCGCGCTAGCGCTGCGTTGTAAGGGGGGGGGGGGGGGGGGGGGGGAGAGAAGCAGCTAGCCGGCTAGCCTACACACAGACACGTACACAGACTCATGATGTAAAAGGGCACACGTTTTTGTTTCTCGTCAGAGTCGTCACCCGGTACCCCGCGGCGCGCATATTGGTAGATCTACGCACACACTCATGCCAAGGCCTAAGTAATCATGGTAATCAAGGAGGATCCTACTTCCTAGGAGGTGAGCTGAGGGCGATTATTCATTATCCAGCCATGGCAAAAAAAAACAAAAAAAAAAGTGCAAATCAGAACAACAACAATAAAAGAAGAGATTGGGCTGCAAATCAAGTTAGTTGAATACCGGTACATGTATACTACCGTATTATCTCTAATATAAGCACAGTCTCCAATAATAGCACGTCTCCAATAATAGAACACCTTGGAGTGGCATTCAAAAAATAAAGTGCTCAGTCTCCATTATAAGCACACTCTCTATCTTTACCGGCGAAAAACCCTGAAATGTGTGTGTCTGACATGAATTTGGCCGGCAACATGCCTATGAAATGAGGTTGAAATAATAATGGAACAGTCTCCAATAAAGGAACGTCTCCATTAATAGCACGGGGCGGAGGTACATTGAAAAAATAAAGGACGTGCTTATATTAGAGATAATACGGTATTAGGTTTACGGGAAATGGTCCGAGAGATCACGAACAAAGGCAGACATAACATGTTTTCACATGATTTCAGTTTTTGGGGAAGCGAGCTATTATGGCGAGCGACACGTTGAGTATTAAATATTTCTTTTTTTTTCGGTCCTTGTTTTTCCACCTCTACTGGTATACTCGCATATATACGATTAAATGACGAGAAACATGGAAATAAAAGCGTGTATCCGAATCATACAGACTACAAAAATTATACTATAATTACCGGTAGTAATGAAGTAACTGCCATGGTTTTATAAAATTTTAATTTTATTTTAGAGCGTTTGTTTTTAGAAAGTGAGAAAAGTACCTTCACCCGGCATAAGTCTACATGGCGGTACATGTATCAGTAAAAAATACTATAGCGTAACTTGTAATAGCGAGGTCAGACGCGTGACCAGTTCACGGACTTCGCTTGTCGCGCTTGGACCATCCCCGGCCCATTGAAAATCGATGATGTCATGGCACATAGGTTTTTATTCGATTTTTCGATTTTTACGGGAGGCATCAAAACTGACCTGCGTTTGAACTTCGCTTGTGCAGTCTCCTTGCTCTTTTTGGGCGATTTCAAGTTTCCAGTCCTTTGGTAAGGATATGGAGCAATGCCTCCACCCGTTCGCGCGGCGTCCAGACGTTTCTCTGTCGACGCGCTGTCTCTCGCTTTTTGCCAATATTCGAGGGCGGGTTTCGGTCCTTGCGCCTCTTGTTACGCCTTAGGTTGTTGCTGCATCGTGTTCAGCGCCCCCTAATCCTTCGGACTACCAAGTTTCATTGGCGTAACAAGAGGCGCACCGACGTTATGGCTCCCGACTGGTGTCACTGTCCAGCAAGGAGGATTGCTTTGGGAAGGCATGTGCACCAATCTAAAAAGCAACAGAAGCAAGCGAATCGCCATCATTCCGATTAAACTTCGCTTGCGTCTGGTGTGCAGCATTTTGTATCTATTCAGAAGCTTGTTGGTGATGAAGGTAAGGAGATGGCTACTTCAGTCCCGGTCCCAGGTACTGTTTCGGAAAGCTATGTCTTTCTTACAAAGTTTTGTCCAATTGTATGCATCATTTCAGAAATGGAAACTATTTCCAAATTTCCAATGCTGTCAGTGTTACTCAATCAAGGCAACACTACAAATAGTTGTCAGCCAAACATAACCTGTGTGAGAGAGAAAGTGAGGAACGTTCACTTTCACACAGACCATGTCTCTAACAAAGTCTCTCTACTGTACTACTCCAGAACAAACAATACGTTCGAGCACAATTGTGTTTTCAAATTCCTGATCGTCTGCAGAAACTTGTCTTGAGAAAGCGCTTCTTCCGACATCATCCATCAACAGCAGCCACCGCTCGCGTTGCCACCAACTCGTCATTGGATCCCAAATATCTTACCATCACCGGTTCACAGCAAATAGTACATGCACTGGCGATCCTTGAAGACAATTGCACATTTCCCTTCTCTGCAGAGGAACAATCATTTTCTCTTCAGAAAGTAATACTACTAGTAATAGTTTTCGGCTCGAGTGCTGCACGCAGCGCTAGCGGTGCCGCTAGCCGCTAGCATAGCGAAGTACACGCACGTGACACGCGAGATTACATCATGCACTCTCCGTCGCGACTTGGGACCCGAGTGCCGGGTGCCATTTTTCGAGCTCCCACGCGTACATTCGTCGCGACAAAAAAATCACGTAGTCGGGCTCCTTTCAACACCCATAACTCTCTTCCAGTTGCTCTAACCCAGCCCAAATTTTAGATTTGAACGCCTGAAGCTCTAAGCTTTCCGTAGATACCCAATTCGATAGGGTTTTCCAAATTTTAATTTTCGCCTGACCTCGCTACTTGTAAGTTGTAGTTCCTTGGTCTTTCTCTTTGTACAATTAGTAGAGGAAAGTATTACTATTAGTTCCGCTCGTGCCATTGTTTACACCACCACGGTATGCACGAGGAGTCTACAAAGTAGTCGTGAAAACTAGCGTTCACGGACTGCCTGGCACTGTTGATCTAATACCTACGCTTTTGCAATAATTATCGCGTCCGCACTTTGCATTTGTTGAATAAAATGAAGCGAGATTCGCTTGCAACGGTTTTCTTCTTGAACTTGGAGTCATCGTTCACGCACATAGCACAGGTCAGTGAACGTGTGGGCTTGTACTTGCAGCTAACTGCTGGTTCTGAGGCTGGATTTCTGCTTGGCTCAAGCCGAGGTTCTCTTTACATCCAGGAGTTGTACTAGCATTCGCTACAATGCCCGAGTTGCTAGCGGTTGTATTCGCTAGAATGCTGCTGACTTGCTAGCAGTTTTATTCGCTAGAATGCTACTGAGTAGCTAGCGGTTCATACTGCGCCAGCTCTGGGATGGACCAGGAACCTGCTATTGACGTTCAGGCGTTTACGTTGACATAGTCAGCCCTCACATTCACTTTCCACTCAGTCAGTCTTTCACTGTTTCATTTGCTGATGACAAATGGACTGTGGTTCCAGTGGCTTGTACAAGACACCAAAGTCATAATATTATGATGAGTTCCCAAAGACGAAACAGTTCTGACAGTTCTGTCTGCAGATTGAGTGACTGGCCATTGCACGTGTTGGCTGCCGGTGACCGGATAGTAAACGGATACTCTGAGAATCAGTAACGACTGTGCTGGCCGTGGCACATCATCTTCACCGACCCAGGGGCTGCTGCGTTCCGACATGTCATGGCAGCACCATGGCTATCATTATCAATGACAGCAAAGCAACATTGCCAACGGTGCCCGGAAGCAGTAGCAGTGCCCGGAAGCAGCAACAGTGCCCAGAAGCAGTAGCAGTGCCCGGAAGCAGCAACAGTGCCCGGAAGCAGTAGCAGCAATTATTAGTACAGCTGCATGACCTAGCAGGAGGAGCAGTAGCAGCAGATTTTTATAATCTGATGTATTCCTACACTCTATTCCACCGTTGTATACTGTTCAGGGGCCGATGTGAGACTGACGTATGCTCAGCAGTGCACTAGTGTAAGACAGCTGGATCGGAAATGCTGACTGCCGATGTCATTCTGCACCATAGTACTACTGACTGTAGATTCTCCTGGATATCCGATAGTGATACGCTGACTGAAAACAGGAATTAGTCACACTCAGTGTTACTTGCACTAGCAGCATACACACTATGTCTAACGCTAGTATAGACATTATCGGACAAACAGTCTCATCATGGTGAATCTGCATTGCAAGGTGAATTGAATGTGGTGAGGAATGCTGAAACATAAGAACCTGTGGGCAGCAGCAGTGGAAGCACCTGCACTACCAGCAACAGCACCAACAGCAGCACCACCACCAACAGCAGCACCACCAGCAGCAGCAGCACCACCAGCAGCAGCAGCACCACCACCAGCATCACCACCAGCATCACCACCAGCACCAGCACCAGCACCACCACTACGAGCAGCAGCACCACCACCACCAGCAGCAGCAGCAGCACCACCATGAGCACCAGCAGGAAACATGACCAGCACAAGCAGGACTGACTACCTTCAGTTCTGTTACCATCATTGAGTATGAAAAGTAAGTTTCAATTGTATAAAGACTTTTATAACCCTAAGAGGATGCTATTTTTGGCTAGGGCATTTTCGCAGAAATTTTGTTGCGGCCGAAATTTTGTTTTGCAAGGTTTAGTGTGAGGGTGCATACAGGCAGCAGAAGTGCAGGCCAACATTTTAATGCGGCCGAAATGTGTTTTAGCACTGGGAGGCCGACATTTCTATGCACCGAAAATTTGTAGACTTCCAGTAGATGCAGCAGCTAGCGATGACGGTGAGGTCGTAAGTCTGACAAGGAGCGCCTGACATGGAGCAAACCTCATTAGCTGTATCCATGGTTACCTTTAATCCAAGCAGTGAGTATCCATGGTACAGTGAAACCTGTCTAAGGCGACCCCTCAAGGGACGAGAAAATGTGGTCGCCGTGGCCAGGTGGTCTTCTTATCCAGGTTCAGCGGGTCACGTGACCATATCCACATGTGATACATCATTTTGATCAGTGCATCACAGTGCACACGCCAATGCTACTCTAGCACGACTCATGTGCCTGGGGTCCTCAGACCTGTCAAATGTCGTGCATGCACCATGTACATCTACACTTCCTGCACTGATGTGTAGATCTACCATGCCTGGTGCACCATGCAATGCATACATTTACATGACTAGCACTATGCAATGCGGTCGCGGGTGGGTGGTCGTTGTTCGCGTTGAGCGAGTGGTCGCCTTATCCGAGGTGTTTTGAATGTGAATGTGTGCGTGACAAGGAAAAGTGGTGGCCATTACTGGTTTTACTGTACCTACTTTACTCCAAGCAGTGACTCGGTACCCAATTGACCGTGGTTGTGGATGTGGATGTGGGTGCAGTTCACTGTATGTAAAGTGGTTCACGCATTCATTGCTGCATTTGTTAGCACAGTGAACACTCCCTGCTGCCAGCACGGGTCTCAAACTCAGGACCTATAATTTGCAGGAAAGCCCGCAACCACTAGCCCACAACCACTAGCTCACAACCACTAGCTCACAACAATTAGCCCACAACCACTCGGCCAGAGCACTCACTCATGTGTACGTCGCTCATTTGAACGAGTTATTGTGAACGGGGCATCAAGTACAGTAAAACATGTCATATCCGGACACGCTTGACACCCTTGCCACCCTTGACACGCTTGGAGCACTGGAAAATATCCTCATATGTCAGGATTCCGCTTGATCCAGGGATGCAAGTTCGATCCACAGGTTGTCGGTGCATGAACATTAATCCGGTTAATACAGGGTTCCTTAGCTTAGTATGTGCAGGGTGCTGTGCAGGGTGATGTACAGGGTGATGTACAGGGTGATGTACAGGGTGATGTACAGGGTGCTGTGCAGGGTGCTGTACAGGGTGATGTACAGGGTGCTGTGCAGGGTGATGTACAGGGTGATGTACAGGGTGATGTACAGGGTGCTGTGCAGGGTGCTGTACAGGGTGATGTACAGGGTGATGTACAGGGTGATGTACAGGGTGATGTACAGGGTGATGTACAGGGTGATGTACAGGGTGATGTACAGGGTGGGGCAAATGCAGATTTTACTGTACAGCACCTTTTCCCTGAACAGGGAGCACCAATGTCCTTTACCTTACAAGCTGAACAGGGAGCCGTGACCAATGTCCTTTACACAGTAACTGAGAGTGATAGCGTTTAACTGTGCCTGTTTGGCTTTCTGCCACTTCTGTGCTTTATTGCACAGGTGTCATGGATGCTATGCTTGGTGCTCTGGAAGGTATGCTGTATGTATGTGTTAGCAGATGTATGCTGTATGTATGTGTTAGCAGATGTATGCTGTATGTGTTAGCAGATGTATGCTGTATGTGTTAGCAGATGTATGCTGTATGTGTTAGCAGATGTATGCTGTATGTGTTAGCAGATGTATGCTGTGCGTACTTCAAGTATGGGTTTGTGCCAACTCCTAGCCGACATTAACATTCTACTCCCCATGCTAGAGTATAGAGCAGACACACAAACGTGTGCAGCACGCGACACACCAAGAGACAAGGGAGTGAGTTTGGAGTAATGGAATGTAGCCTATTGTAGGGCAGAGTAGCTGGCCTCAATTGAGTGTGCGTTAACGAATCGTGTGGTCGGCCTCTTGAGGGGAAGAGCTGTATATGACCAAGTGGGTCGGCCTGCGTTGAGCAGGAGCGGTTTGTGACCCATGTGAGTTGGTGGGTCGGCCTGCGTTGACCAAGAGCGGTTCATAACCCATGTGAGTTTAATAGTACTGCGCGAGAGGCCAGTTACGGGAAGTGCCCGCATCCGTGTGTTTCAAAATTATGTGGAGTATAGTGTAAGAGCAAGAAATGGGATGAGGAGGGTACACTAGGGTGGGTCAGAATATGAAAGCTGTCTACAGGCAAGGAACTGGAAAAGACAGCAAGCTGTGTTGTGCGCACGGGAAATCTGCGCATGCGCAGAGCGTGCGGGCATGTGATGTCTATGATACACATAAGTATGTAGAGAGAGAGAGAGAGAGAGAGAGAGAGAGAAAGAGCGAGAGAGAGCGAGAGAGAGAGCGAGAGCGAGAGAGCGAGAGAGAGAGAGAGAAACGGGCATGTGATGTCTATGATACACAGTAGTATGTAGAGAGAGTAAGACCGTGCACACAGCAGTATGTAGAGAGAGTAAGACCGTGCACACACGCAAAGAGGGTCTTGTGACCCGTTCTAAAGAGCCAATAGCGGAGCAATGGTACGTGACTGTTAACAACTCCTGAACTCATACGTTAACCGAACATTCAAACCCTATACTAAGGGGGGGGGGGGGGGGGGGGGGGGTGACAAAAAGGCAATAACTACAGTGGATATGTAGGTACTAGATCGAATGACCATCTACTGTTGTATGGGGCATGGCTGTGTCATGTTTGATCAGGGCCCGGTGTTGCTCAGTCCGTGATATTGACAGTGGCTCAGCCTGTGCAGTGTCCCTTATAGACCGACAGCGGCCCAGCCTGTGCACTGTTTCCTATGCCCACACTGCCCCCCCCCCCCCCCCCCCCCCTGTAGACTCACACTGGCCCAGCCAATGCAGTCTCTCTCTCTCTCTCCCTCTCTCTCTCTCTCTCTCTCCTCTCCCTCTCTCTCTCTCTCTCTCTGTCTCTGTCTCTGTCTCTGTCTCTCTCTCTCTGTCTCTCTCTCTCTGTCTCTCTCTCTCTCGCTCACCCGCTGTCTGTCTCTCTCTGGCTGTCTGTCTCTGTCTCTCTTATACACACTTCAAGCCTGTCTATGGTATGATGCGGGTGGGATTGGACCAGACAGTCTGACCGACCAGGGTCAATTGCTTACCAGTTATCATACAGTGTAGACATAGTGCCATCTGCTACATGTCTCACATTCATCAGTTTGAGGGAAAGTTGCGAACAGGAAAACGGAAAACTTAGTAACACTTTCTTTTATACCCAGGACGTACATATACCCCTCCCCCCCCCCCCCCCCCTCCCTCCCAAGACTGTGCCACTCTCTGCCTGCATGGCCCGGTCTGCGATGGGGGTCCGTCGGCGAAGGTGGGTCCACTCACGTCAAATGTAGTTCTACATGACCCCGTGTATGTGTCACATGACCCAGTGTATGTGTCACATGACCCAGTGTATGTGTCACGTTGTAACTTACATGTACAGCATATCCAGCATGATGTTTTTGCCACCAATAGAATAGCACTTTCTGGCAGACTCTTTTTAAAGCAACACTGCTCAGAAAGACACACCTCTTAGAAAGACACACCTCTTAGAAAGACACACATCTTAGAAAGACACAAATCTGATGCGAGTAATGACTGATATCGGGACTACGTACCGATACTGACCTTCATGGTCCACAGTACGGAACATACTTGAAACGGACATGGAATTAGTGATGTGAGTTTTGCCACCGCCCCCCCCCCCCCCCCCCCCCCCTCTAGTGCAGACTTGCGCATTCTTGGGGGTTATGTACTCTGGATATTGCACTGGTGTGAACACAGGTAGCCACTGCTCAGTGTATATCAGGATACGCGGGGAGCATGAGATAGTCCCGTGTGAACACAGGTAGCCACTGCTCAGTGTATATCAGGATACGCGGGGAGCATGAGATAGTCCCGTGTGAACACAGGTAGCCACTGCTCAGTGTATATCAGGATACGCGGGGAGCATGAGATAGTCTCGTGTGAACACAGGTACCTAGTTTGTACTGTCTGCAATTCTGTCTGCAGTCATTGAATCTAGCAGGCTACTGTCAATAGTACTGGTGGCTGGAGAGTGATCTTGCGTGTGTGCCTGCCGAACTGCAGTCGCATTTGGTTGGGACTGTCCCAATATTGAGGTGTCGTCGGGCCTGATATCCGGCCCTGACGACCGAAAAGATCTTCTTTTGTCATGACCTTAAAATCGATAACAGTGCTGCATCCGAATGGAATATTTGCTGTGCTTCAAAAGATGAGCACAGACATAGACTAAAATGTGCAAGATGATAGTACAGGGAATGTCTCTTGGGTGCATTCTTCGACTCGGCGGCTCCAAATCAGCCAGTGCATGTAAACATTTCATAGGAGTTTTTTCCGCACACAGCGGAGACATAGTTTGAGGTATGCCTAGCAGCTTTGCCATCACCGTTCGACTATTGACCACCCGCCTGTACAGTGCACTAGTGTGCACATGGGTTTCCCTCAGCAAAGAAATGAATAAAAAAATTCTCCACTGCCTTAGGGCATCATGTGAGCGCCCGACCACTGTCTGCAGTAGACTGGTCACACATGTAGCTGTGGTAGCGTCATGTGGTATTGGTGCCTGCATCTTTAAAAATGATCTCGCTCTGTGTGATTTTCGCCACTGAGAAGTGTAGATTGTATCTTGCCGGCTCTGGTGGCATGACGTGGTCACAGCGATTCAATAAGAAGGCTGAAGCGCTGTAGTGCTGCCAACACCGTGACCATGATTAGGAAACCTGCAAACCCCGAAAGAGTATTTTAGACCATTAGCTTTGTTCGGCCTACTTCAAAGCACCTTGAAGTACCCTTTTATTTACTTGAGAGCGATTTCCATAAAACGAGAGAGCTTGGAAGCTCAGGGCCCTACGCTATGCTTTTTTGCCTTGATGACCTAGACCAAAAAAAGCATAGGGATGTTATAAATTCTTATAAATTTCTCATTTTTTTTTAAGACATAACCTGGGATTCGAACCCGCACTATCGCCCTGCATGCATCCCCCGATACACTTCGCATACATACATACTAATTCTTCCAAGTTGCTTCATGTTATGATCTTTCATTTGAAAGCCCTATTTGAATATGCATTGTGGCCAGCCGTCTTTGATGGTCCAGTACGGTACGGGACAGGTACGGAACAGGTACGGGACATGTACGGTCGAGGTAATAAGACACCGTCTACCGCATTGATGACATAGGCAAAAAAAGCATAGGGATGTTATAAATTTTTCAATTCTCCTTTTTTTCAGGCATAACCTGGGATTCGAACCCGCACTATCGCCCTACATGCATTCCCTCATACACTTCGCATTCATACTCATTCTTCCAAGTTGCTTCACGTTATGATCTTGCGTTTGAAAGCCCTATTTGAATATTGCGGCCAGCTGCATGTGGCCAGCTAGCTGTGTTTGATGGTACGGTACGGTACAGATACGGGATAGCGCCAGGCGTGACACAAACATACAAACAAACACCAAATTAAAGCTGTGTGGACCATGGCTAGCGCCAGACGTTACTGAAGTAACGTCTTCTGCATAGCTACGGGAATAAAAAGGTACTTCCACTCAGCCGCCTAGCATATGCATTGTGCAGCTTTAATTTTAGGAGTTTGAAGCATCTTGGCTCGTCATGGCAACAAGTGACATATGCTCTACTGCGTATTTTGTTGTGTCTTTCTGCACCCCCTGTGTGACTGATTTCATGTTGCTAGCTACACAGTGAATTCTACGTCATCTCTACATGACTATCGCTTTCTGCTGTTTCCCTTGTTTGCTCCTGCAGATGTGCGTTGACATTGAAACTTGAAATGCCAGTCACAGTCCGAGTAACGTATTTTCTATTTTGCTGCTTGTTTGTGTTGCTCACAGTCATTGTTCCTATCGACAATTATTCCTACTCAAACTCATTGTGATGTCATTATGTCGTTGTGATGGCATTATGTCGTTGTGATGTCATTATGTCATTATGATGTCAGTGTTGTGATGCAATAAAGTGGTGCTGGTTCTCTTTTGCTGTGCGCTGATGGTGAGGCACATGTGTTTGTTATTTCTTCTACATGCCCATCCAGTATCTTTTAGGATATTGGATGAGCATGGAAGTGTTAGAATAACTTTTACCGTAAAGTACCATGACTGCATGAGAGTGCCCCGCCAACTTGTCCTGTCATGGTTGTGCTGTGGAGCCGGGTGTCTGTAGATCATGTGATACATATATTGTACACACACAGAGCATGATGTGCAGTCAATCTGTACTCAGTTTACCTTGCAGCTCCGCACAAGAACATGCTCAATGTGATCTTAGTACACCAGACAGACTTAGTTGCATTCTGCCATGCGACTTTCCTTTCCCTGGCTGCTGTAAAGTCAAGGTGGGGTGCTGTAAAGTCAAGGTGGGGTGCTGTAAAGTCAAGGTGGGGTGCTGTAAAGTCAAGGTGGGGTGCTGTAAAGTCGAGGTGGGCTGCTGTAAAGTCGAGGTGGGCTGCTGTAAAGTCGAGGTGGGGTGCTGTAAAGTCGAGGTGGGGTGCTGTAAAGTCGAGGTGGGGTGCTGTAAAGTCAAGGTGGGGTGCTGTAAAGTCGAGGTGGGGTGCTGTAAAGTCGAGGTGGGGTGCTGTCGCAGTACTTTACAGCACAGTGTGCTAGTACTCCCGACTACTCGATTCACCACTAGTGCACTATCAAGGATCATTTTCACTATTAGGATATCCCCCCCCCCCCCCCGATAAATAATAAATACAAATAAATACTGGAGGCAATCACTCGATTGCTCAACAGTGCTGCACGTGTTTCACCCCATCAATCAACAGTGCATGTGTTCCCCCCCCCCCCCTCTTTTATCACTTGAAACTGTTCCACTGCGGCTCGGGGGTTGAATCGCTAATCAGCAGCCGTCCAACTACAGGAATGCTCTAGTACTTGTTTCGTAGTCCACAAGTCCATCACATTGTAACGCATGAGGGAGTACTGTAGGAGTTTGGCGTTTGGTTTTGTACGATTCGTGTCAAGTACCGTCCTTGTTGGTCTCTGTAACAGTCGACATTCTTTGGTACCGGACTTGGTGTGTACTCATTTTCGTTGCGCTGACCTTCCCCTCTTTGGTCTCTCCTTAGCCCTAACTAACCTTCCAAGTTAGAAGGCTGTTGGTTAGCGCTTCGGAGATGTATTGTAGCTAGGTGTCAGGTAGTGGAATGTCTCAGCGCTCAGTCAGTTGTGTGCCTAGTTCAGCGCTCAGTCAGCTGTGTGCCTAGTTCAGCGCTCAGTCAGTTGTGTGCCTAGTTCAGCGCTCAGTCAGTTGTTGTGTGCCTAGTTCAGTGCTGCCAAATAATTTCCGCCCAAAATCGGACACCCTTCACCGCCAAGGCTAGCCACATGGTGCGAATTTTTCTCCTCGGCAATTTTTTTACAGAGAATTCAAAATATCGCCTAAACACCATGAAAATTCGCTTCGTTGCCATGGTAACCCCGGAGTTGTCATGAATTTTGCAATGACGAGTGTGGTCGCACACTGACTCTGGACTGTCAGAGTAAATGCCATCCAGCCTGATCCAGGCATGTTACTTTGCACTTCCACAGCCAAGCGCTAGCCTTTTTAGAAGCAAATGCACAGTTATTTGTGCCTTCAGTTGCGCTGAAAAGTGAAAGTCTGCATAGGAAAGTAATGATCTCCGACATTTTGGCTGCTTTTCGGACGTTTCCCTTTTCGGACCGGTTTTCAGAAGAGCCTTCAAAATCCGGACACTGTCCGAAAAATCGGACGGTTTGGCAGCACTGCTAGTTGTTCCAGTTGTCTGACTGCTGCCGTGTATACTAGCTACTATCTAGTTACAATGCACTGATATCCATACTGAATATGTCCTTTCCTTTCTACCTGTAGTATTGGCTCAACATCCAAGTTTCAAATTAGGATTGGTGAAGTTAATCACATTGCCCATCTAAAGCAGGGGTGCCAGTATGCCATTCCCAGTATGCTATCCACTACTCAGTGAACTGCTTAGTAGACTAGTCTATCCAGAGAGTAGTAAAATGCCGGTATTTTTTTTCGTAGATCTACAAAAATAATTGTTTTTTTGTTTTTGTTTTTGTTTTACAACTCCCTGGTTCTAACTGTAAGCGGTCTACCCCCAGTACAGCACTCTACTAATAATGATACACCAAGTATACTATTAATTACCGATGCTGCTACAATGCCACACGCGGTGCTGTGATGACACCTATGCTGTGCAGTAATGATACCTAGGCTATGCTGTGACAGTGTGCAGCACTGATGATACATAGGTATCATTGCTGTGACAGTGCGCAGCAATTATACCTATGCTGCTACAATGTGCTATGCTGCTACAATGTGCAGCAATGATACCTATGCTGCTACAATGTCTAGTGATGAGGGGTGTGTTATGATAGACCAGCACTGAGTACTTGGTGCCTGTTGAGCATCATCGGATGACAACCACTGCACCTGAGCAGCCTAGTAGGGAACGCACACGCACACGCACACGCACACACACACACACACACACACACGCACACACAGATCATGAATAACAGTGTTTGCACACTGAAAGAAAGCAGCCCTGAACAGAAGGCACGGACATCAGCTGCAACAGCACCAGACCAGTTACTGAGTACCAATACACACGGCCACAGACTGTGAGAAGTCACAACACCAGCTGCAATATGCAATATGACTGTAGTGCCGTGTGAGAAGCCAGCCACGAACCAGCCACAAACCAGCCACAAACCAGCCACAGACACCATCAATCTTGTAGAAACATGTCTTCTGAGGAGGACATGTGATGAACTCACGCTAAGGGCTCTAAATTCACGCGCAGGGCTCTAAATTTGGTGCACCTTGTGCTGGGGGATAAAAAGCAGGGTTTTTTTGGTGCACCTTCCCCTAGCAGGAGGGGGGTCGGAGGACAAGAGTAAGCCTCCAACACCACCCTCCACCGTTCGATGGTTTGCTTATATAGGAGCTCAGACAAGGGTGTGAACACTCAGCAAATCAGCATCAAGCAACACCTAATTAACTACTCACAATTCACGCATCGGCTGTGACATTCACTGGAAATGTTGAGATTCACACTGACATCGGTGTAATGGCTAGAAGTCAGCACTGAATCTCATCTGGATCAAAGGTGAGAACAGATAGTAGAACAGTGGGAATTCACGCAGTGGCAAGTACATCATCACACACAGCAGTGGCAAGTACATCATCACACACAGCAGTGGCAAGTACATCATCACACACAGCAGTGGCAAGTACATCATCACACACAGCAGTGGCAAGTACATCATCACACACAGCAGTGGCAAGTACATCATCACACACAGCAGTGGCAAGTACATCATCACACACAGCAGTGGCAAGTACATCATCACACACAGCAGTGGCAAGTACATCATCACACACAGCAGTGGCAAGTACATCATCACACACAGCAGTGGCAAGTACATCATCACACACAGCAGTGGCAAGTACATCATCACACACAGCAGTGGCAAGTACATCATCACACACAGCAGTGACAAGTACATCATCACACACAGCAGTGACAAGTACATCGCACACAGCAGTGACAAGTACATCATCACACACAGCAGTGACAAGTACATCGCACACAGCAGTGGCAATTCCACGCAAGAGACCAGCGCAAAGCACACAGGAAGGTGATACTTGCTGAACACACACATACACATACACACACACACACACACACACACACACACACACACACACACACCACAACACACACACACACACACACACACACACACACACACACACACACACACACACATACTTCACAAAGCCCACATTGTAGTGCAGTATAGAGTGGGGAAAACCCCCAACAAGCAAGTCACAAGCACTACCAATTCACAGCCGAATCAATAAGACAAGCCGAATCGACATTTATTTCATCGTTTTAGTGCAGAATGGTTTTCATGACTTGTTTTCATTACCTATAAAAACAAAGCCGGGAGAGCACTGATCCTATGTAAGTCTACCCAGTCTCATACAAACTGACAAACTGACAAACTGACACTCAAACACTTTCCGTTGGACCATCTTCATCCATTTCATTCTTTCTGGATGTTGTATATTTCGGGTACAAGACTGTTGCAGCATCTGAACCGAAAGTGGCTGGCTGGTACACAGGGTTGCTTGATATTCACATCATTGCGGGTTCAGGCCCTGCTTGCTCCTAAAGTATGTCTTATTTCTTCCAATTTTTTTGAAGTGGATAGGAAATTTCCAACAAGGCCCGGAGAACTTCATGGTTCTGAGCCTATTCTCAGGAGTGTTTGGGGTTATACAGGTGGAATCCTGATAATTCGAATATGGATTAATTCGAACATATCGCTTAATTAGAAGTTTTTCCAGGACCGATTTCTGTCAATAGGATTCCAAAATAAAATTTTCTGATAATTCGAACCTCGAACCGGGTGTGGAATTTGAGCGGATTCGAAGTTAGCAAAGTGTAATTCGATTTTCACTGTACACTGTACTGGTCAGTTCAGTTTGCATGAGCAGGCTGTGCCGCATTTTGACATGCATATTGTGTTGTGGGTTCATGTTTGGATAATTAGAATGTCCGGATAAGTTTTTTGGCATTTCAAGGTTTGAATTATCATGATTTCACCAGTACATGTTTTATACTGGTGTTTAGCCATATGCCGTGTGTATTCTGGTGTTTTAAATAAAACTCGTTAGCTAGTAACCATGACGTTTTCATCAGTGGTTTTGACGGAAATCTCTAGCTTGTGATAGTGTTTGAGTGGAAGTTTGTATCAAAGGTGGATGGTTTACTTGCCAATATAATTGACCATAGTTTAGGGCTGAAACGATCATTCAATAACTCCTAACGATCAACCTATATCATTAACGATCGACATGTTGATTTTATGGATTCTTGTCGGCGGCACTATTCGTGTACCTCTTACACCAGTTTATGAAGAAAATTCCATGAAAATTCCATGATGATGCCTTTGCTACTGATTAGATGTGATGAGCAGGCAAACAGTCCAAATCTACCATGGTTGAATTATCGCTTTGTGGGTATTCTGCTGCAAACATTCCAGGCAATTTGTGTCACCCGCACTGCCCGCATCTGGCTGGTCTTATCAACACGAACTAGAGTATTTTACGGTGTTTCTAGAGCGAAGAATCTTGTCGTCACCCTTTGGCAACTGCCATAGGCTCTCCATAGCAAAGTCTGCAGCAGGCATTTTCTGACCAGCCGATCACTAAAATACGCCAAAGTTGGTGATGTATTCATGCAAACAACCGTCTTGTGGCTTAAAGCTCTCATCACCGACTTCTCCCACAAATCAATCGAAAAGACGCAGTCTTCTCTCCTCAACTCTTCAAAGCTACACATCAATTTTACTGCGCTCGAAAGTACATGTATATCATTGCATTCGTATTCACTATTGGATGGAGTGCAAGGGCTAGAATAATGTATTCACTATTGGATGGAGTGCAAGGGCTAGAGCAATGTCACTGATATGCATGGATAAACAAATCGTTGACACTCGTTGTGAACATTAATGATTACTGTATGTCAGCGCCTTTAAAGCCATGGCATTATATTCGAAACACCACTGCTTTCCTAGCTATTTCAGATGTGAAATGACTCATCCACTACGCCATGCCATACAAGTCAAAGTCCACACAGAAATTTCAATCTAAATCCACTTGTTCACCCTGCCTGCTGGGCTGTAAATTTGTTAGCACAGTACGTATTCCTTCACTTCTACAAACCATACTTCAAATGTCATTTCTTTTATAAAGCCATGCATGGCTTTATAACTGAGACTGGCTTTATAATCGAATATACCTCCATGGCTTTAAAGGTGCGGACATACGGTATATATTTCACTCTTTACAACGATTGATATGCGAGTTATGGGTATAATTGTTTCATCCCTGCCGCAGTTCTACTAGTTATGGGTATAATTGTTTCAGCCCTGCCGTAGTTATGGGTATAATTGTTTCAGCCCTGCCGTAGTTATGGGTATAATTGTTTCAGCCCTGCCGTAGTTATGAGTATAATTGTTTCAGCCCTGCCGCATGCCTGCCACATGCCTGCCGTAGTTCTACTACCAAGTCACATGACCATAGCCACGGTATTCCTAGTAACCATAGTAACCATAGTAACTTAGCGGCTATGTTACTAAATCCTTGGAAAACATGCTCAATACCATGAGGGCAGAGCCAGAAGACACACAGTTCGCAAAGGAGCAAGGCTGAAGTATGTTGTTAGTAGTTGAAGTATGTTGTTAGTAGTTGAAGTATGTTGTTAGTAGTTGAAGTAGTTTTGTTAGTAGTTGAAGTAGTTTTGTTACTCAACTTGATGTACGCATCTACCGTAAAGTAGTGTTGAACCACCCCACGCCCACGCGCCGTGTCGCTTCCCAGCTGGGTTTTCGGCAGAGGGTGGGAATTAGATCAAGGCTGTCAAGGGCAGTGGGATGTACAACAAAGCGGAAGGTCATACTCGGTGTGCTGGATTGTGCATACTAGTATCTTCATCCTGCACTGGCGCGTATTGTGTACAGCAGTGCATGCGTTGACCCAACACTGTACTTCATTGCATACGCCGAAGTTGCGTCATAGGCAGAAATTCGACAGGGGGTGGAAATTAGAGACGGGGCGGATCAACGGTACTTTACGGTGTCGCACTAGTATCATCCCTGTTGTCTGAGGATTGGTAGATGCCGGTAAGCATGAAACTACATACAGTTCAACAGCCTACATGTAGTTCCATTGACAACTCAGTCAGTGTAGATTCCTAGTACATGTCATAATTCCAAACATGGATAATGGCCGGATTGATATCCGTTCATGATCCGGCTGTTGCGGCTGATTCAGGTAAGTAGCCACCGCACACTACAGTCCATTCACTATAAGTGTGCACTGTTATTACATGCTCCCATCATACGACTAAGTGAATGCACGCTTGCTTGCGGCTCCTTTAAAAAAAAAAAAGGATCAAAATCTGTCCAAATTTGAGAGAGAAAATGGAAAATTGATTATTTTGGCTCGCTTTGCTGGCTGATTTCCGTGCATTTGCATGCGCCGCTGCTTTGTCTTTGAAGAAGTCATGCACTGTTGTGTCCTACCCCAGGTGGGTTCTACTCGGACTCATCCAGCTCGATCACACACACACTCGAGGCCATTACAGATTTCAGTACGTCTCAAACTCCATATCCGAAAAAGACCAAGCTCACGTGCGAGCATGCGCACTACATACATATGGTCCATGTCCAGGACATGACAATTTCCCCCTCACTAGTTGAGGCGAAGCATCTAGAACTATGCACTAGTAAACATATCAAGATGCAATCACAAAACTCACAACTGCCGAGACATAATATTTCATGATACACTACACACCATAAATATATAATTATATACAATATTCAGCAGAGTCCAAAATATATCATTAAAACTCCACAGACTAG